CGCTCCCACACACGCGCTGGAGCCGCACCTCAGGAACACGCGTTTATTGTTCGATTGCGAGCCGCGCGGGGACCGAGCGAGAGGAGGGACCCCGTGTGGGGCAAGCCCCAGCAGCTGCCAGCACGGGTGAGTCCCCTCGGCTGCATGGAGAGCCACGGTCCGTGGACTGCGGAGCCCAGGGCCCTCTGGGTAGCTCTGAGGGGTCTGGCTCCAGTTTCTGCTTTCCAGGCTGCCAAGGGCCTGGCCCCAGGTCTGGTGCGCAGACAGATCAGGGCAAACCCTGTACCCAGCCCCAAATCCCCTCTTTACCTTTCCAAATTTGCTGTGCTGCACATAGAGGATCCCATCCTTCACCGGCCTCTCCATGAGCCCAGCACCGCCCTGGCAGCCAGCGCAAAGATCGGGGACTGTGGCTACCAGCAGCGGAGACAACGTGACTGCTGCAGCCAGAGCAACTGCACAGGGCAGACTTCCTTCTCTCAGCAACTTCCCCTTTCTGGTGTGTGGGATGAGAGGCAGAGGATGGGCCATGGGAGGTGTCCGCCTGTCCGCCCTGCCCCCCAGAAGGGTAGTGGGGCAGAACGGGTGCAGGCAGAGCGCAGGAAGCACCCAGGGATCGCCCGACACCGGCACAGGGCAGTGGCCTTGCCCTGGCTGCCTGTTTGGGGGGTACAGGAACAGCCACCAGCAGAGGACACACACAACCAGGTAAGGGCCATGGCTTCAGGGGAGTTGAGGGGTTCTGGAGAGGAGCGACGCAAGACCCTGGTCACACCACTGCCAGGGGCTGGCACGGGCAGCAGGCAGCCAGCCATTGCCCACCTGGGGCTTCCTCCTCTCCTTGGGCACCACTACCTGCTTGCCCAATGTGCCACTGGCGTAAGAGGCTGTTGCAGCACAGCTCCACATTTCCTCCTGCTTCATCAGGCTGAGCTGGCACCAGACCCAGGGGCCAAATGCCTGGAAAAGCGGCCACAGCAGTACGGGGCAGGTCCCTGGGCACCGCTCCAGCTGAAGAGGAGCCAAGGCCTGCACAGGGGGAGCGCCGGGCGGCATGCTCCCCGGGCTAGAAGTCCATGGAGCTGTGGGCCAGGTAGTCCTTGCGGCCGATGTTGCTGACTTGCTTGGTCTGCATGGCCTCCAGCTTGGGGCAGTCGGTGATGCGATGGCCCAGGCCGCCGCAGAAGGCACAGCCCCGCTCACCTGCAACAGGAGGGAAGAGGTCAGGGGGAACCATGCCACACAAGGAGAGTGGCACCCCCGCCCCAGAAGCAGAGGGGCTACACCAGCTTGTCCCCCCAGCTGCCCCAGCAGCCAGGGCTCCTGCCCACAGCCTGGGTCTCAGCAGCCCCACAGGAGGTCCCTGTGCCAGCCTAGGGTCTCTTACCTCCGAGTTCCAGCATGGTCTCATCCCCACAGTGCAGCACCTGGAGCACAGGCGGCACCTTCTGCTTTGCCTCCAGGAGCAGGGCCTTGAGGTCCATCAGCACCGACTCATCTGGGGGCAGAGACACGCATCAGACATGGCACAGGCAGAGGTGGGGGCACCGCCCCACATTACCATCTCCCCCACGGGCCATCACCCCTCGCCCCTGCTCGCTCAGGAACGCCTCCCTTGCCAAGGCGGAGGCAGCTCCATCGCCCAGCCGCCTCCTGCAGCCGCAGCCCCCCAGCAGGCAGCCCCCAGCCCTGGGCTGTTTCTCACCGCAGGCCTTGTTGATGAAGGTGGTGGCAATGCCAGTGTTGCCCGAACGGCCTGTGCGCCCGATACGGTGAACTGTGGAGAAAGAGATGGGATCAGGCCCGGGTGAGCACAACGTGACAGAGCACCCCCTCCAGCCTCAGCTGCTGCAGAGGCTCCGCACCCGCCCCACCGCGCCCTTGTTGGCCCCTGTCCTGTGGGGCCCAGTCCTCACCGTAGTTCTCAATCTCCTCTGGCATGTCATAGTTGATGACGTGCTGGATGGCTGGGAAATCCAGGCCCTTGGAAGCAACATCAGTGGCAACCAGGACATCTTTCTTCCCATCCCGGAAGGCCTCGATGGCTTTTGTCCGTTCCTCCTGATCTGCAAAGGCCCAGCAGAGAAGATCAGCGAGGGCGGAGCTCCCCGTCCTAACTCTTGTAGGAACTACTATGGCCCCAGTGCCAAGCACCACTCAGCCATGGCTCCCCTGTTGAGGAGCCATGCAGCCTTCCCCCAGCTAACAGAGCGCAGGGACCCCCAGGTCCCCTCAGGACCTATGCTGTGTTTATGCCTGCTACATAAAACGTAGCATCTGCTCCTGACACTGCCACAGCCCCTCCTCACACCACCACAAACTGCTGCACGCTGGGAGCTCCCCCAGCCACGTGCTCCCCAGCAGGAGCAGGGTCAGGTGGGGCCACAGCATGGCCCAGGTTTCTCTGAGACCCTCGCTGACCTTTCCCTCCATGGATGGCCACAGCTTCCACACCCTTGAGCAGCAGGTACTCGTGGATCGCATCAACATCTGCCTTCTTCTCTGCGAAGATGAGCACCTGCAGCAGCACAGACACCATGGAGGAGCTGTCCTTCTGCTGGCTGGCACCAGCACAATCCCCCAGGGAAACCCATTCCCTCATGTGTGTTCTGCTCAGCAACGCCCCTGGGCCCAGGACCCGCCCGGACGTGGAGCGTGGCTCGCTTGTACACGTACCCCACGCACAGCAGAGCCCTGCCGCGCCACAGCTGTGCCCCCTCTGCCAGCTCCACCCGTGCCCCGGGGCTGGGGTGTGCCCGCAGTGCCCCTAGCCATGCTGCCAGAGCACATCACTCACTGGTGGTGGGGTCTTCTGCAGGCACTCCAGGAGGTACACCATCTTGGCCTCCTCTTTCACGTACTCCACTTCCTAGGAACAAGCTCAGAGATGAGTCAGCCAGATAGCAGAGAAATTACCATTGTTTAGCATAACCCTTAACCTCTTGGGAAGGAGGGTCACAAACCCCAGCTCCCTAACAAGGGATGCATCGAGTGCCCTCAGGAAAGGTGCTTGTCTCCCACACAGGCACGGGGGAGCTCCCAGCTGCTTCACCTGCACAACATCCAGGCTGGCAGCACCCGCTCGCCCAACGTTAATGGTGATGGGCTTCACCAGGGCGCTCTTGGCAAAGTTCTGGATCTTCTTGGGCATTGTGGCACTGAAGAGGAGGGTTTGCCGCTGGCCCTGTTCAGGGAACACAGTGTGGGAGAGGATTTAACATTCACCCAGCCAGGCAGGTGCAGGGATTGAGCTTCAGGGTGCTCGTATTGTGCCAGCTCAGTACCTTGAAGTAGGAGAAGATGGTACGGATGTCCCCTTCAAAGCCCATATCGATCATTCTGTCAGCCTCATCCAAGGCCAAGTAACGGCAAATATCCAGGCTCACCATCTTCTTCTGCAGCAGGTCCATCAGGCGGCCAGGGGTTGCCACCATCATGTGCACACCACTGTGGGATGAGAGGCAGCCACAGTCAGGCACTTGGATTCTCAAACCATACAGCAACACCAGGAAAGCTGAGCACCCACTTGGCACACCACCCCACACCTTCCTGAAGCCATCTAATCAGGGTGTCAACCCTTAGCCTCTACCAGGAAACAGAGCCCAGCTCCAGCCCCACAATCCCCCGCTAGAAGGTCTTACTGTTTGATTGTCTCCATCTGCTCCTTGACGGACATGCCTCCGATGCAGAGGGCGCAGCGCAGCGGGGGCAGCCCGTCCTCCTGCAGCAGGCGGCAGTAGTACTCGATGATGCCGTGGGTCTGCCGGGCCAGCTCACGCTGCGGAGACAAGAACCACTCCTTCCCACACCGCCGCACGGGGAGGTGCAGGACTGGCACCGAGCATCAGCCACAGCCTCCTCCTGCACGTCACCGTGCCCCCCGCACTCACCGAGGGACAGATGATGAGTCCGTAGGGTCCCTCTCGCTTGGAAAATGGCAGCCTCTTCTCCTGCTCCAGGCAGAACATGATCACCGGGAGGGTGAACACCAAGGTCTTCCCAGAGCCAGTGAACGCAATGCCAATCATGTCCCTTCCCGAGAGGCTGGCAGAGCAACGGGGCCGATGGTGAGGAGGAGCACAACTGAACAGCTCAGACCCCCGGGGCTGAGCAAGGTGACAGAGCACATCTGTCACCAGGGAAGAGCGCCCGCTTCCCATCACCGGGTGGGCTGCAGGGAGCCAGAACAGGGACAGAGCACTCACATCGTGGGGATGCCTTGGATCTGTATCGGTGTGGGCTGCTGGATCCCTTTTTTCTTCAGGCCCCTCAGGATAGCTATCAGAGAACAAGGGACACGCACGTTCATGACCCAAAGTCTTCCCCCTGTTGCCATCCTACTCGTATCCCAGCAGCAGCTCTCCCACACGATAAACATCCCTTGGGACAGCAGCCAGGTGACACGGCCACCGCTGGGGATTCAGGCTATGAACATTAATGGCACAAAAGCTTCACTTGCTGACGTGTGTCCCCCAGACTCCCCTTCCCCCCACCTGCTGGGAACTTCATCTCCTTGAAGCTCTTGATGGGAGGCGGGATGCCCTCCCCCTCCACCAGGATGTGGTACTTCTTGCGCACACGATCGTGCCGTGCCTCCGACATGCCCAGGATGTAACGAGGTGCTCTCCAGCTGCGAAGGCAACAGAGAAATGTCGCAGTGCCGAACGAGGCTGGGGCTGCAGAGCCAGCAGCCCCCACACTGGCCTGGCAGAAATCCCTGTCAGGCTCCAGCATCTCGCCAGGGAAAACATGTAACCCCAAGGGGCTGCACAGCATTAGCACAGGAGCAGATCTAAGCCACTTCTGCACGTTAAATGTTTTCCCAAAGTCTGAAGAAGAAGTCCCAAGCTGACAGCTGACAACAGTCTGTGGATGGTGGATGGAACACATTAAAATCTTTTGGACGCATCTCAATCATCTCTCTGAGACTGCCTCAAGCAGCGCTGGCTCCGTGGGCTCACCCAGTCTCTTCCTCTAGCTGAGTCACCCCCAGGAGCTAGAGATCCTCCTCGAGTCTTCGAGTTCAACACAAACACCCTTTAGCAAACCTTACCGTATACAAAACGACACCCACGGGGACTCAGCAGCCTTCAATCTTACAGACAGCAGCAAGCCAGACAGTGAAGTGAGAGAGAAGGCAGCGGCCACAGGGGCGCTTGCCCTGCCCGGCTGCACAGCCTCCAGCTCTCTTCAGCCCCGAGGAAGCGACGCTTCCAGACAGACCACCTCTGTACCACGAAACACACCTGGTTTTAATCGGGTCGTCGTAGGTGATGCCCTTTGCCATCTCCTTCACCGACATCAAAGCTGCAAGAACAAAGCTGGTGAGGTCGTTGCAAACTCATGGCGTGCAAACATGGGCAGCTTCAGTGGAGAACCACTTGGGAAAATGCTTTGGGAGATGATGCCCGGAGAGGGCGGAGGGAAAGCAGCGCCCCCGACAGCCTCGCTGAGTGCAGACGCCGAGTGCTGCAGCCTGCCCTGCCCAGGGCCTGCTGCAGCAATACCTCGGCTAAGGCAGGCAGGTAGCTGCTGACCGAGGGAACCCGCTGGGATCTCTTGTGCCCTCCCCTGAGGGCTGCAAGGCAGGAAAACACCCCTGCTGCTGCCCTGACAGCTCTGGAGATGGGTCTGAGACACAAAGCTCTCACCACTCACCTCGGCCCTCTGCCACGCTTTCTAGGATCTTCTCTTCCTCCTTCAGCTGCTTCTCCTTGGCTGACTCCTTTCGAGCTGGGGGAAGAGCCAGGGTACCAGTGAGGAGGTTTCAGTCCCTCCCAAAAGACACCCGGCCCAAGTGCCTGCCACTCTCCTACCTTCGGCCTTCTCTTTGAGGTGCCGGCGCTGGTCCAGG